TGTGTGTCTGTTTGTGTGTGTATACTCACGGAAAAAGTGTGCATACTTTAAACAGTCACAGCTCAATCAATTAATAGGTCAACAGTAACCAAAATTTGCACTGAGACTAAAGTAAGTTATTTCGTAAGTTGCATGAGTTTCAAAAAGAAAAAAAATATTGCTCGTCAAGGGAGAAAATTACTTGGTCTTCAATTCATTTGATTACCTTAGGATGCAACGTTTTATATACCCTTATTTAGAAATTGATTGTATAATTCACTTCCTTTCAGTTTGTATGTGTCGAAAAAACAAAAAATACAGTAATTTTTCTTCTTTCAAGACTTACCAAACCTGTTGGAAAATAATAGATGTCGAGCGTTAGGAATGCTTCAGCCTGGATGTACACAGCGAGGCGTGGCTCAAAGGTTTAACGTTCACAGCAACAGCATTGGACATTTGTAGATATAGGTACGTGTGGGAGCATCTGGAACGACGGGTGATCGAACTAGAAGAGGTAAGCCTCAGATCACAACACAGACAAGACCGACACATCCACCATATTGATTTCCAAAACAGATTGCGTCCTGCATCACTGACCGTGCGTAATATCCTTTGATTAAAACCAATCTCAGCGAGAACTGTGATCGAGGCGAGGAATCGTCTTCGGGAGATACAATTTGGGACCCTACAGACCAGCTTATAGGCATATGTACTCCAAACACTTCAGCGTAGGGCTCGATACATTTGAACGACACGTTATTTGTTTGACATTGACTAGTGACGTGTTATGTTCACAGACGAGTCTCGATTCTGTCTCCAGGAGAAACGATGAAAGGTAGAAACCAAACCATCCCCAAAAATTAGTTGAATTTGAGCAATCGCTGGAAAGAATCTGGCAGCAGATTCCCTAGCAGTTTATCCAACGATTTATCATTTCTATTGGTAGATGGCGTCAACCAGCTAACAGTGCTGCAGGTGGTCACTTGTGATACTGATGTTGTGGATTTTGAAATTTGGGTGTTCAACTTGTGATGGTTTTTTTATGAACTCTTCAATGAAAATAATCTTTCCTTACAATTTGTTTCAAGTGTTTGTTGTTAAGAAAGGGAATATTGATTTCTAGGGTTACTTTCCTTTTTTATACTCACGGAAAAGAGAAAGTGTGCCTAGAAATCAATATTCCTTGGGTGGATATATATATAATAATTATATTAATTTCCGTTGAGTCGTCACGTATTGGCGTATTTACCTATCTACAGCAGCAACAACAACAACAACAACAACAACAACAACAACAACAACAACAACAACAACAACAACAACGACGACGACGACGACGACGACGACGACGACGACGACGACGACGACGACGACGACGACGACGACGACAACAACAACAACAACAACAGCAAAGAAGTGGTCTTGCTTAACGATAGAGTGGTAGAGTGAAAGAAAAGCTTACTTGGGTGCTTATGCTAGGGAGATGAAAATTCGACAAGAAGAATGTAAGAATATTCGGCAAATATAATAACAAAAATCATTCATAGAGTTTGTTCTGCATGAATCTTTATTGTGAGGAGACAGCACATTGTCAATGAGATGTAAATTATGAAAGAATACTGAATAACAGTCTTTTCCATGTGTGTGTGTGTGTGTGTGTGTGTGTGTGTGTGTGTGTGTGTGTGTGTGTGTGTGTGTGTGTGTGTGTGTGTGTGTGTGTGTGTGTGTGTGTGTGTGTGTGTGTGTGAAAGAGAGAGAGAGAGAGAGAGAGAGAGAGAGAGAGAGAGTTATTATTCATGTGAAAGTAGTTGTTGTCAAGTTATGACAAATCGTCCGCATAGCCGTTGTTTTCCTCTTTATTATAATAATATATATAAATAAAATCTTTCTTTTGAGTTAATAAAAATGGTGTGTTGTGGGGATTATCAACATTGTTGATACTTTAATTTTATTGCTGTCAATATTGTCTTTATTAGCATGAGCAACATCATATCGAAATCATTTAGAAGAACAATAATGATAGTGATGCTGATAACAGCAGATATGAAATATTCAGACTACAAGGACAAGACATCGGAATTTTATGCACAGAATATATAATTATTATGCAAGTGTCCATACGATAATTGTGCAGCAAGACATCAATGTAATTGTCCGCAACGGTTCCAATAATATAACAATACATGCATAAAGCGAGAAGTGCAAGAAAAGCTACTTTAGACATACATACCCAGTAGGAAGTGTTATACAGAGCACGTAAATGCCGTTAGTGATAAAACAAACTGCTATACCGGGCACATCAAGGTGTACCTTTGGTTGTAAAGTAATTGTTACTTCGTTATAATAAATGATATGTATTCTACTGTTTGCAATAATCTGCGTTCGTACGGAGAATAACATATTCATTGTTTCTTTTAGTCAGACCGCTTGCAGCAGTCTTCCGTTTGGGTTTGGTTCGCTAGTACTTTTTCATTGTCACAATATAGGAAATCATACACAAACATTTTAAAGCCAATGAAGGTTGCATTCATCAAATATCATTCCATGATTTATTGTCCTCAGAACAAAATATCAAAAAGACAACTGACTGTTTTTCTAAATTGTTTGGAAAATTTGATTTTAACTCAGTTTGAAAATATCAGAACTTGAAAGAAAGAGATGGATGCAATGCTTTGATTATTTGTATTGACTGTTTTGCACCGACCGTTCTTTTTTATATAGTATTCTGTTTGGTTTTTAGATATATGAAATAAGCTTTACTGCAAGCATAACTTTGTCAGCTCAAAACATTAATTTCGAGCGCTTTTCAAAAATCAACAACATCCTTGTTGAGTTAAGTAAATTTAAAATAGACAAACTTGAAAGGGTGTTCACTATTCACGTTGTACAATTTGCATTATAATAAATGATCGAATGTGCAGTACTGTGACGTAGTTACTATAATATGATGAGTTTGGGCTGGGTTTACGTCAAAATGGCAAATCTAAAGATATTTCCACACTTTAGGAAGAAACAAAAGAAGCTTTAGCAAGTTGTTTAGAGACAGACAGGAATGCTGAGGATAAAAAGGTATACCTAAATAAAACTGTCTTGGAATTTTATAAATACGATTCGTCTGAACTAGTTATGGCTACAATGGCACAATATACATTTTCGCATTCACTTACATTAACTGTTAATGCGTCTTCGTTTTTCTTCTTTCGAAAATTACAAAGTCTTCTTAATCTAGTTTTCAAATTTTCTTTATTGCATTGTTTTTCAAAGTTTCTCTTCTGCATATTACAAAGGAATAAGGATTCATGATTGATGAATCCCACAGATGTTATTAAACATGAAAAAAACAATCGCCAACTTGATTATTTTTCTTTATATTATCCTGAATTTGAAAATTACGGCAACATGTGTTTTTCTTTTCTGAAATCGGGTCTTTCAAGATTGAGCGATTATCAGTACAGAAAAGAATTCAGGCAAATACGCAGGAAATGATGTCAGTGTTATATGAATGTGCACTCCACATAGAAGAGTCCTGCATTCACAAAAGCATTACATTGAGGGAACACTGTGTACCATCGATGTAGAATAAGAATTGGTACTGACGCCTTCTGAAAAGAAAAATATTTATCAAGTGAATTCGGAATACAATACGTGTGTTAAACCTATCTTCATGCAAAAAAGTTTGTTTAACGTTTAAGAATGTTAAAACTCTCATCACCTTGTCAACTCCACGGTTCAGTTCAAGAAAGCCGTATGCCATATTTGTCTAAAAATTGATTTAAAAATTATTATTTTTTTTGCTTTCCTGTGGCCGAAGATCTCTCTTAGTCACAATCTTTTCCATTTGAGGATTAAACTGCAAATAATTTGTATACTGTCCGATTCTCACATCGAAAAGATATGGGACCGAGAAAGATCTGCAACCGCAGAAAAGCAAAAAAGTCGACTTACAACAAATGTTGCATACGATTTTCTTGAACTGAACCATCGATCTGTGTTAAAAGAAGCAATTTATGTAAGTGCTCTATGTTATATAATAAATTACACAGTGCACAGAGAACAACGTAAATAGAGCTCCTGAAAATCTGTTCTCTCTCTCTCTCTCTCTCTCTCTCTCTCTCTCTCTCTCTCTCTCTCTCTCGCTCGCTCGCTCGCTCCTGTCTCTTTCCTTCTGCCATTTGCCCATATCTTTCCATTTATCTTTTTCTCTCTCGGTGTACTTAAATAAATACATTTATTATATATATATTTCCCTTCTCTCCCCTCCCTCCCCCTCCTTTCCCCATCTATTTTTCCTGTATCTCCCCCCCCCCCCCCTCTCTCTCTCTCTCACACTCTCTCTCTCTCTCCCTCTCTCTCTCTCTCTCTCTCTCTCTCTCTCTCTCTCTCTCTCTCTCTCTCTCTCTCTCTCTCTCTCTCTCTCTCTCCCTCTTTAATTTACATGACAGTCACGACCATCCACTTTCAGGCAGATTCTATAAGAATGAATAATACTGGTGAGCCACGAATAACAAAGTAACAAAATCAGCGTTAGTCCAAGAACTTGTCATACGTGTATATTATACTTTTCCTCTCAATGTTAAGGCATTTAGAAAAAAAATTCATTAGTAACTCCTGCAGAGTCACCCACTGCATCATTTTTATAATGACGGATGATTAGGAATTGCATGAATTCAGAAAATATATAATGTTATTAGTGGTCTCTTTCAAAGATACGATGAGTCGATTCTTTTTTCAAGTGCTAGTACACACAAACAGCAATGGTCATTACTTTATTTGACCATTGTCAGATTATTCAGGCTGTCCTCATTCAAATAATCCATAGCGGTCAACAAAAAGAATTGATCTGAGATCATAACATGATGCATTGTTCGCAGCAAATACTTGAGAACAGTTTTACACAAAGTAGTGAGCTACTTGTCCTCAGCCCATATTATGTTAAACGGTTGTAAGACACTGTGGCACACTGTGCTGATAGTAATTGTTATAGACCCCCCCCCCAAAAAAAAAAAACCCCACCTCTGGCGTGATGCGGTATCTGGTCTTATCTTATCATTATTTAAAAGATTGTTTCGTGAGATGTTTGATAATGAATCGACAGTTAAGTGGCTAGCCACGAATTGTTCACACCAAAGCGATTTTTCCAGTATGGAACGTCTGCTTTTCCAAAGCTGAATGGAGTTGCGAAATACTAATCCACTTTTCATCAAATTATGTTTATGTTTCACCAACTGCCGATCTCAGCTGTTACTTGAATGGACTCTCATGTGCCTGTTGAGATTGCCGGATTGTGAGAAGCGAAGCAAACAAAGCTTGCACTGATAGGGCTTTTCCCCGCTGTGTATTCTCAGATGTTTGGTCAGGGTAGAGCTGTCGGAGAACGCCTTTTTGCACATCCTGCATCGGTAGGGGCGTTCTCCCGAGTGTGTGCGCATGTGCGTGGTGACAGAGGAACTCTGGGAGAAGCGTCTCTCACACACTGGACAGTGGAACGGTTTCTCACCAGAGTGAGTCCTCAGGTGTGCCGTTAGGTTTGCGGCCTGGGAGAAGGCTTTGTTGCATGTGCTGCAGCGGTAAGGCTTTTCTCCAGAGTGTGTGCGCAGATGTGTCTTCAGAGTACTTGGACGCGCGTACGTCTTGCCGCAGAATCGACACAGGTTGGTCTTGATGAGGCCACCGTCGAGTCCCGATCCCGTGGACAGAGAGCGGTCCGGAGGGAACCGCGTGCGCTTCAAGACGTGCTGGTGATGGTGGTGGTGATGATGGGTCATCTGACAAAACTTGCTCTCTTTATAGGAATCTGATACCGGTTTGTAATACACAGCCGTGCGTGGGTCTGGTGGCATTGACCTGTAGTCGGTGGTGAAGTGAGAAAAAGGGTGGGTTTGGTTTGGGTAGCTGCCGCCGCAATGGCTCTGTAGACTAGACACAGGCGATGAGTGGTGGTACTGCGGGATGGCCGCGGAGGGCGGGGGTGGCAAAGGAGGTGGGCTGGGCGGTTGTAAGGCCCAGTTTTGCCCCGGACCACATGCACTGCTAGATCCAGGTCCACAGTTGTACTGGCTAGGCCCCGGGCCCAACGGAGGTGGAACACCCACGTTCATACTCATAGACACATTGACGCTCATGGCAGGAAAGTGTACGTTCGCCGTCTGCACTGAGGACGGTTGTAGGTTTGGGCTGGGGCAAGCTTCGGGGTATTGAGAGTATTGGGCGTGTGACGAGGGCACTAAGCTCTGAGGGGCGTAAGAACCTTGCGGTACTGAGGGGTTGTGGTTGACAGCGTAGGCGAGCCCCTGGGGCGGTGCGTGCGAGTACGGGTGGTTGTGGTGGTAGCCGTGAGGTCCAGGGGACGGGATGCTGTAGCCCGTCATGGTCTGTGAGGAGCTGTATGAGGCAGAGTGACTGAGATGCGGCATGGGTCCGGCCGAGTGGGGCGGGGGAGACAAAGGGGAGAGCGACCCTCGTAGGTCTGGGTGAACTACAGCGTGTTTCAGTGACAGCAGGGCGTCCGCTATCTCATGTGGAGCTTTAGGTGGGTGGTCTCTGCGGGACAGAGAGAATACACAGAAAAATAAGTCAGTAAAGTAATTCCCAAAATAGAATCAGTTTTCAGAATAGTGATTTTGATCTTGGGGAGCACTATCATATTGATAAAGAGTTAGCGTGTCAGTAATCCCATCGTCATCGTTATCACTTTTCGATTACTTTCACCAACGGAATATTTTTCTTCTAGCCGTCGCTGACTACTACTTTCTCCAGTGACTATCAAAAGCTGGCATTTTTTATTTTTTTAAACACCAGGCATCCAGGACTCGGACCTCTTAAATAAACACGAAAAACGAAATAACTTAGGAATTTAAAAGACAACAAAGTCACCTTTCGTGTTTTTAGGCTTCTTATTTTTATCCTTATCCTTACTGTTGGGTCGTTTCTGTATTTATTTATTTATTGTTCATTTTTTTAAAATAATTTCTTGCTTAACGAATTCTAAAAGTTACTTATCCGTTCACCAATGCGTACAAGTTGGCCACGATTGTGACCAAACTGAAATCTTAATAATAATAATAATAATGAAAATAATTGTGACCAAACTGAAATCTTAATAATAATAATAATAATGAAAATAATAATAATAACGATAATAATAATAATAATAATAATAATAATAATAATAATGATAATGATGATGATGATGACAATGATAATGATTATGATAATAATGATGATAATGATGATAATATTATAATGATAATGATAATGATAATGATAATGATAATGATAATAATAATAATAATAATAATAATAATAATAATAATAATAATAATAATAATAATAATAATAATAATAATAATAATAATTGCATTTATATAACGCATATTCACGCTCTACAGCATGCAATATGTGCTTTACAACTCTTAATACCCCATCAGACCCTATTATACTTAGAAACATTCTCAGCTTCCAAGAAAGAATATTATAGTGCTGAATGCAATTTGCGCTCAAACACTAATAAACTGACATCTTTCCGATTTTTCATCCGACCGAGCTCAGAGGGTTTTTCTTCCTTCCTGGAATCCACCTGATGAAGACTTTTCACGACATGGGACATGTTCTAAGCGATCTATGTCCCCAAAGCCTACTGTTTTGTGCGGAAAGCTGGAAACAGGATACAGTTTAACCTCGCACTAAATATTATTATAAAGGATAAGTTTTACACGCCCAGAAGAAATCTTTTATTGAGACGTGTATTTATAGAATATTGTACTTATTTCTGACGGTCAAGTTCCTGTCGCAACGAACTTTGTTGCAACAGTAATTACTGTAGGTGGTGGAGGGGGTGGGGGATCTTGTGGAACATTTATTTATTTATTTATTTATTTATTTATTTATTTATTTATTTATTTATTTATTTATTTATTTATTTATTTATTATTTGTTTCTTAGGGGGGGGGGTCATTTAATTTGTTTGCTTCGACGTTTCTTTGTTTTATTATTTGCTTCATTGTTATTTTGTCATAAATTTCATTTCTCTTTGATTCACGTTGTTCCATTTTATTTTTCGTTGTTATTCATTTATTTCAATGCACATGTACCTAGATCTATCTTTAAAGTCATATGTGTAGCGCCTATTTATTTAATTTTTTATCACTTATCCATTTGTTTTGTTATCCTCCTATCCACTGTTCAAGATTCAATTTATTTGTGTAATTTAGACGTTAATCCGTTTGCGTTTTTTAGGGGGGGGGTCTAATTACAAATTATCTATTTTTTCTCGTTATGTGTCTTTTATTACATTCGGCTAGATTCGTCTATCAACCTACAAGTTACTCTGTAATTTATCCGTTCATTTTAGGCATGCCTATTGAGTGTTTATTGTTTTTACGCGCTTTAGTGTTTGATTTATTTGTTTGTTTTTTCCTTATACTACTTAATATTTATGATTGAATTCATTCATGTGATTATTCATTTTTCACTATTTTTTTCTTAATTTGAGCTTCAATGACTTCTTTAAAAGGAATCTCTTTCACTCAAAAAGCTGTTTTAATTTTTTGTTATTCTTCATAGCAGCCTTTTTTAAATCAACACTTCTAAGCTTTTACTGAACCGCCCTTGATTCCGTAATAGGAAGGTCATGTTCTCTTATTAAAAAAAAAAATTTGTTTACTAATTCGTTCGTTCGTTCGTTCGTTCGTTCGTTCGTTCGTTCGTTCGTTCGTTCGTTCGTTCGTTCGTTCGTTCGTTCGTTCGTTCGTTCGTTCGTTCGTTCGTTCGTTCGTTCGTTCGTTAGTTAGTTAGTTAGTTAGTTAGTTAGTTAGTTAGTTAGTTAGTTAGTTAGTTAGTTAGTTAGTTAGTTATTATATACAACAATTTTCATGTATTACCGATTCATTAATTTGATTACCTGAGTGTTTGCCAATCCTATTAATTTTTTGTTTTTAATACATTTATTATTTATCTATTTATCTATTTTTGAGTTTATACGATTGCACAGACTGTTCACAAGACGTATGCCCTGGTGAACTAGATCTATATCACATCACGGCGGCACATGTAATGCACTATCAAGTCTAGGAACAACATCAGATTGTTAAGCACAAGAAAGCCCTGCCTTGGACAGAGACGTCTCTGTCAGGTCTAGTGTGTGGCCTATGCTCCTTTGGGAGGGGGGGGGGGGCGGTGAGGACGATTGATGATGATGAATTAAAATTAATAAGCGTGCTCACATGACCTTGCGCAGTTGTGAGCCCCGTGAAACAGGTTTTTTTAAAAAGAATTTAATTTTAAAATGATAATAAAGTTTCGAATATGATTTCGAATTCCATAGCAGCATCTGTTAAAATTTGCTTGGAATATTAAAATCCTAACAAGTCGGGCGTAGCAGCTGTTTCCTTATAACTTATTGCTGTTTCGTACTGCAATATACCTGCTGGCGCCACGAAACAAAACTGTGTTGATGAATTTTTCTTTTAAAAGAATAGGACAGTTAGCAAAGATGTTATTTTTTCTTAACTGCTTTCGAAGCCAATTTACAGACCCTCTCTCATTCACGTGTCGGTGTTTAGTCACGGAGACATTCCACAACCCTTCTGTATTCGGCATTGCAAGTTCTAAGCACAAATATGTGTTTGTTTTATGACGTCTTTGTACCTAACCGAACCCCCAAAATACCAGAACTTGCTTGGGGGCAATGTTTTCTATCAAATGCCATTTCCCCTTCGTCTTTCTCCCAAAAGGGTACGTTTTTGACCCTCTGTCTTGCGCCAGTGACTGGTAAACACGGTGGTCAGCCACTTTCAAATATAGCTCTCTATTTTTCAGACATGACCCAGACAGATGCTAGAAGCAAAATCACGCCCTCCGAAACGTTACGTACAATGTGTTTTTATGCATGAAAAAAAACCCGGAAAGAACTCAAGGATAACATTGTGTAATCAACCTGCCACAACCCAACTTTTCGCTAGCTATGGTTCCGTTTTAGCAATGCCCATTTTTTTTTACTTTAAAAACAACAACAAGAAATAAAAGATTTGAATTTTAGAATTTGTTGATTAGCCTTATAGTTTCAAAAATTCGATACACGTCTACATTTACCAATTGCTCTATCATAATCATTATAGAAAATACAAGAACAACACGAGGAATTGGGAAATATTGCAGATCTTTTGTGTCTTTAGAGCATTAAAACGTGCATCATGTTTACTGAGATTGAAACCTTTTGGACGAACAGGGTATTTGTGTGAGACCATAATGTATTCTCATTGAATTCGCTCAAATTTCGAAGTCTGGCTGAAATTAAATTAGAGCATGCAGAAATACATGTTGAATTTAACTCACAAACGATAACTTTCAGAAGACAGCCTTTCGTTGTCCAATATATCTTTTGGTAGTGAACTAGTTAATGAGCATCATTAAACGCATTTATTTTAGTAAGACTGACCCAAAGATTCTGTAAAGCACGATGTCTCATGTCAAATCTGAACTTCACACTTGCAAAATTTATCCAGTTAACCTTTACCTCGTGGTCACGGTAGAAAAAACGACCGTTCACAAAGACAAATCTAGAAGAAGAAGATAGTCGTCAGCCACCCTGAGAACAAGTTTTAAAACTGTCTGCTGCAGAAACAATTGCTGCACCTTCGAGTGGGGATTTACACCTCTGAAAACACAATGAAGGCTACGTCAGAAAGGGCACGGACAACGGAGGCCAGTATTGATTCAGTTCAAAAAAATGTTTTAAGTGATCTACGAAAGTTATCCACTGCCGTATTGGACAAACAAAATATGAGTTTTCAGAAGGGTAGTTTGGTTTGTCCATAACTGGGTTAGACAGGGAAATATGTGAGAGTGAAATTTTCAGAGGGTGAAAGCAAATTTTAAAAAATAATAATAAAAGAAAGAAAAAGAAGGGGAAAGAGGGGAGAGTGAGTGAGTGAGTGAGTGAGTGAGTGAGTGAGTGAGTGAGTGAGTGAGTGAGTGAGTGAGTGAGTGAGTGAGTGAGTGAGTGAGTGAGTGAGTGAGTGAGTGAGTGAGTGAGTGAATGAATGAATGAATGAATGAATGAATGAATGAATGAATGAATGAATGAATGAATGAATGAATGAATGAATGAATGAATGAATGAATGAATGAATGAATGAATGAATGAATGACTGAGTTCTCTTGTATAAATACCACACGGCGTTACAAAGTACGAACAAAAGGCATCGTTCGTCTATTTAAAAAACACCGCATGAGAAGAATGTAGATTTGAGTACTTGAGAAATCTAAAAGGTATTATTATAATTATTATTGCAAATGACAAGGAGGGCAAAATAGATTGTCCGAACACCTTAGGCTAAGTTTAGTTGTTCCTGGTTATTTCATGAGAATGACACCACACTGACAACGAGATTTGTATGCAATGCCACTCGGAAAAAGAAATATCTTCGTTTTCTGCTTATCGGACTAGACGAAAACAGAAAGGTCGGTAGGCTGCCCATGGGTACTGTACAACTTTAATTAGATAAATAAAATAGGACAAAAGCACACCTGGCCTGAGCTTG